AATTATTATATTATTAACATATTTGTAGCAGTACATTTATTCATAATCGGCAATTTTTTTTCTGTATAATTAATTTTACTTTTGTATTTTCACATTATTGTAAGGATTATGTTAATTTTATTAACAGTTAAATTTTAAGTTCCTTTCCTGTCAATTCTTAACTTCAACTTACTACTTCCGGCCAGAATTTAGTTTTTGAATCAGGTCTGAATGCATAATGGGGAGGAGCGGTATTATTTAAACCACTACATTCTTCGGTCTTAGCGAGATAGTTACCAGATATTCTGTCTGCACGCGTCCGCCTTTCTAGGCTACTCTCTCGAAAGCTATTATTACACTCGGCCGTACTTAGGCCCTTGATAGCTTCGCAGTCAATTAAGGTTACGGGACAAACTCGGTTAGAATCTTGATAGCTTCGGCTATATCTCTTCAGTTTAGGTCAGTTTTAGTTTAATTCTTTGTCTCTTAAGTTCAAGAGTTTCCCTTAGAAAGTCCTCCACGAAGGCATCCCTCCCCTTAGGCAGATAGGCTTCCTGTGCTCTGCCATAATTAAATACACCAACACCAACTAAATTATAAGTTCAAGCCCAAGTACCGGCTTTCATTTTACACTCCAAGACGGAGTTCTGTTTAATCTTATTTGAATAATAAAGGTTATTTACCCTTGCATCTTATTGTTTCTTGTCACACGAACTCAAGCGATTATTCGCTTATCAGTTCTTAAGATTCTTACCGTTCAACTGTAACTTAGCAGTTACAAAGTGAGGAACTCTAAATTATAATTTCGTAAAATAAGTGTTTTAAGAACTTAATCACATTCAGGCACTGTCAGATACCACTGCTTTCATTCAGTCAGGTCTGAAAATTTCGTTCGTAGATGCGATATAAAACTGTGTCAAATATCAATCACTAATGATGTAGCCGTTAGATTTAATTCATTCGTTTCGTTTATTTTGTACTTGTGGACTAATAATAAGACTGATAGTAAGACTGATCTGCCTAGTTGGCAGATAATAATAATAAGACTGATCTGAAACGAATGCCTAGTTGGTACATTTATGCATTATATTGCAAAAATATTTAAATTGGAAATCTAATTAATTGAATTCCTGATATGAAATAGAAGAAATTAATCATATTATGTAATTTTTTTTTCATAGTGCATCATGACTTGTGCGCCGATCTAAGTCGGTATTTGGAACGTGTAAGGCAAACAGTCTCGCCGCCAAGTCTACGAGTCAATGCCCAGCCGAATAACAGATTACCTCAGGGCAACAGATGTGCCAACGTATTATTTATTTATTTATTTATTTTGCTCTTATATCTGTATTTCCTGAATAAAACATTCAATTCTTAAGATGCTGCTAGTGTGTTGCTTTCAATATACGTACATCACATCTACCGATTTCTGTTCGTTCGGATAAATTCTTCTCGGTACGTGGCTCCCGAGCGGTAAAGTCACTGAACACTGGTAGTTCGGTCCGAGGTTTCAATTTTCCACGGACGGGGTGGCTGCATGGACGTTTTCTTGGTTTTCCCCGTGTGTAACGTGTATACCAGTATAACTCTTTCCGGCACGCTACCTTTTAAAGTCGGAGTTTTGATTAATAAAAAAAGAAAACAAAAGTAGGCAGTCTAATTAGGCCTAGAGGAGTACACAAGTAAAATTTTGTGAAGATAGCACTTATCGTTTTAATTCTGTGGATGTGCCCAAAGTCGCATACTGATTGAATAGAGCTTCGAAGAGTGCTGAAACGAGCATTGTTGTCAATGAACTGACCGATGAGATGCGGAGAAACAAAGAATATAGACTCTCAGTTGTCATAGATGATCGGTGAGCCCGGTCTGGGCACACCTAGGGTTCGCCGTTTGATTTTAGGCAAGATTTCAAGGTAAAAATTTAAAACTAATATAGAATAAGGAGATTAGCATACAGCGAAAAAAATAACATAGAAATTTCTTTTCAAACTATTCCTTTTATACCTGGAAGATTTCTTTGAAAAATGAGGGTCTTAAAAAACTAAACATGGCTAAAATATAAGTACTGCTTTGTGCTGAACTGCCATCTACTATAAATAAAAAAGGTTCAGAGCAACCTAAAATAACTTATAAATCCTTTTTCATTCAATTTTTCTGTGCGTACATTTTTAGGTGTGTGCAGACTGGACACACTGTGCTGCAAAGGGTTCAAGTCCTTCACAAAGGCATTCTCCCTTAGGCAGATAGCCCTCGAGGCTTTGCCCTAATCACATACACCAACCTTCTTGGTACATTTTACGCCTCTTTTTTTGTTACAGAGCAGGGGTGGCCAGACTTTATGTCAGTAAGAGCCGCTTATTAAAATTCAAGAAAATTCGAGAGACGCAAGTAGATTTTTCCAAAACCACAAATCCACATTTGCATCATTTTAAAAGTAGTGAAATAGGTTTCAAATAGCAAGAAACTGACGTATGGATTCTAATCAATCATTCAATCCCAATGTCTTCAGCATGTGATGATGCCTCGAAGACAACGCCAAGTTTTTTCGTGTCTGTGTTTTCTCTAATTACAGTCTGATGCAGCAAAAGTACTCTTTTTTCAGTTTTTAAATAATCCGATAAAACTTAGTAAATGCTGATCTGTCAGAACTTTGTTATACTCAAGAAACTTCGGATTTTTCTTAAGTCTGTGCTACTGCGACTCAAATAATTTTTTTTTTTTTTTTGCAGCTTCAAAATTATCCCGTAAGCATATTTTACAATTGCACATCTGTGTAGCCATCGAGGGAGTGTCTTCTAGGATGGACCAATATGGGAATCCAGTAATATTTCTGTCATGTCACATGACCTTTCGCGTGCTTTGAGATTCAAGCAAGATGGTTGAAAATATTTTGCCACGCAATTTTCTGTACAAAAGCATCGTCGATTTCTTCTGAAAATGTTCATTGCGAAGTTAGATTAAATATAAGCAAAATTGTGAAGATTTTACTACCTGGTTGAAAGAATTTGAAATAAATACAAACACATGTTGGATACTCCGCAAAAGTATCCATGCGAAATATTATTTAATAAGTGGTAAATAAAATGAAGAAAGAAATACATGATAAACATCTGAGCCCAAATGCTATCTTTACATAAAAATATGCATGTGAGAAAAATATTTACACCATTTATATATGTAAATAGAAGTCAGCACGTTTTATTGCAGTCTATATGGAAAAGATGTTCTATAATCCGTAATTCTTCTGCATGTTTGTACCACGGCAAGCAAAATGTATATTAGTTGTTCTAAAATTTAAGGGATCATCGAAATTTTCTAAAGATAACATGGTCTTCTAAGCTGTGACTGTCATTAGATTTATTAGAAAAAGTATTAGATTCCGATTAAAATAAGTTATCATCAATTCGGACGTCGAATCAACTTCTAAACTATTTTTTAACTTGCATCAAGTTCTGTGTGATATTAAATGTTTCTGATGAATTACATCCGATTTCTGTTCCACTCACAGACCACTCTAATTTAGTTTCTACCGCTATTAATGATTGAGAAATTCGGATCCACAAGCATCCACCATCTATTTGTAAAACATCCACAAGCAAATCTAACTTTAAAGACTTTTTGTTTCGCACAGTTATTTCATAGAATTAGTGCAATAGTTTTATTTATTTTTTTTAATGCTTTTGAATAACATAACTAAGTTTTCCACTAATAAGAAATGAAGTACTTATGTTTGATCAGTTTAAATTTACTAATAAATTAGTAAAACGAAATGAAAAAATTAATTGCTTTCATTTAGACATGGAGTAGTTTTACTTTACCATATTCCATACGTATATTTTATTTGCATAAGAGTCGCACGAGCCGAGCTATGGTCACACCTGTTATAGAGTGTATATGAAAACTAAGTGCATAAAATTTAAATTTCATATTTTATTATATGCACCTGCCTCTTTAAAATGATGTATCAAACACCTACGCATCTTTTGAAAACAGATTTGGAATGGAAATATTGCTCTCTACGACAAAAGGTTAAAAAAAGGTCGACGTCATATTTGTTAGAATTTTCCAAAATTAGGGAATAACTTATGCTTGACAAACCACATATTGTAGTCTTGCTTTAATATAATTATATGGCTAATTCTATCAATTTAGGTTGATCTAAAGCAGGGTTTCTTAAACTTTTTTCAGTCGCGACAACGGATTAGCTGCCATATTTGTCAATCAAAATAAAATGAATTCATTGCAGATTCTGTTTTAATATCAAAATAGAAGTTAATAGAGAAATTCCGTAGAACAAGAATTAATGGTTACCTTCCATTGACAATTCTGTTAAAAGAAGCTTTTCGGCTAAAATGTCGTTAAGGAATATATTACTTTAGAGCAGGGTTCTAAACCCTCTGCCTGCGGGCACCATTGCGCCGCCTGCAACGGTTATACGTGTGCCCGTTGCTGTGCAACCAGAATAAAAAAAGTATTTTAGTTTTCAATAAAATGTTATGCACAATTTTTATAGTTCGTAATTAATTAGAGGGCTTTAATAAGTGCTTTTTATAATTTTAAACCGGCTTACCAAATGATCCGGTTAGATAAGTATTGTCGCACTTTGAAGATATGGGCTTTGTCAATTTGTCATTTTGACCTTTTAATTTGTTAAAAATTTAAAAATATCAAATATCACTGTTTTCAACAAACAATAAATATCGCAAAAGTACAAACCTCGACTTACAGATGAACATACTGGCAATTGTTTATCACCAGTAATATCATCATACTCTCAGCGTAAGGCCTATAAATTGCAATGACCTATCAGGAGCGGCCTATGAAATGCGATGCTAACTATAACGAACTTTTGTCTGTACCATTTAGTAATTATTTGTTTTACATAAGAATATAATCAATGAGTTTTGTATCTCAAAATTACAATTTTGGAATAAGTTTTTTATCAATCTATTAATTTACCTACATTTATAAATTTAATAATCTTAATGTTTAATAATCTTAATGTCAATCTATTAATTTACCCTGAAAGAATAAAGGTGCTCGCCACGCCATCGATGTTCTAAAATGTGCTCCGAGGTACCAAACATTTGCAGATCCATGCTTTGGAGCAGGAGTGGACAGACTTTTCCAGGGTACGGGCTACTTCTAATTTTTTTCAAGGTGTTGGGGTCCATCCAGGGATGTAGGTGTGGTGAGCTAAAAACAAGTAATATATAAAAAAAAAATTTAAATCATTACTATTTAGGTCTACAAAAAAATTAAAACAATTAAAAGAATTTTTAATATGTGAAAAAACTATCAACATTAAGTGTCATACACTGTAAGTTTAAAAAATGTATTTGAACTTTTGTGGATGAATAAGAAGATAGTTGCATCAGACCTTACGCGGCCAACCTCACCCGTGACGATAATTTCACTACTTAGATCGCTTTCACGGATTTTCCTGTATATAGTGTAAATTTGTATATATTGCATATATGTTATTATTCTATCATTTGTATCTTTTATTTATGTGTTTTGTATTTGTAATGTATGTTATATCTTATGATATCTGATTTAGATAATAAAACTTTTCTCAGACTTATTCTCATGTCTTAACCATCCACTTATGATACAACACTACCAGACACCCACTCGTCTTCAGCCTCTCCATGCGCGCGGCTTTCTTGGTTGTTTTCTTTCTTCTTGTGACGCTGGTCACTTCCCTTTTCCCATTTCCGACGCTTCCTCACGGCCCGCCCGGACTGTTCAACGTCTTGTGTCCTATTGGGATACTTAGTCATAGAGCCGGCAACGTCGCGTGCTTTACAGCGACAGCCCGGCATAAGAGTATCAAAAAAAAGTATTTTATTAAAGACTGAAAATTAATTAATTACTAATTAATTAAATACAATTTTAAAGCCAATTTCTTAGGTCAACAAAGAAAAAATTTTAATTAAAAATAAAAAAAATTAATAGTTTAAATAAAAAATGAAAAATTAACATGCGAAAAAACTGTATTAAAATCAAGTATCACCCACTACAAGTTTTATGTATTTGAGCTCGAGTGGATGAATAAAAAGTATTTCATTAACAACTGAAAATTTGAACAAGATATAGGGAGAGTAGGAATTTAAGAAGTGTCTACAATATTTATTCTAACTTATTATTAATAAAGACGGAATACGTACTTACCTGCCTATCCCTACCTAAAAAAACTTACTCTTTTAAAACCGCGCTTAAAACAAAAACGTAAGATACACATATAATAATAATAGTCACAAATATAATAATTTCAAATGATGCATTTCTTATCAAACAATTCAAAGTAAATTAAAAAATAAATCATTTTCATCTATAGTTCTCGGAGTTATAGTTAGTAGAAGGTTTGGTTTGGATTATTTAATTATGGCAAAGCACACTAGGCTATCTGCCTAAGGGGAGGGATGCCTTCGTGAAGGACTTTAATAAGGGAAACTGGCTAGTATACACGTTACACATGGGGAAAACCACGAAAACGCCCATGCAGCCAGCCCGTTCGCGAGATTCGAACCTCGGACCGAACTACCAGTGTTCAGCGACTTTACCGCTCGGCCGCTGGTGAGCCGTAGTTAGTAGAAGACTTAGCCCACATACTCTCCGCCAAATCTTGAATATCTGGTATATAATTGCTAACTGCAAAACTTGCACTGGATTCTAAGTGGCCGTTTGTGAGACAGGAACGATATGTTGTCTTAATTATGTTCATCGTTGAAAATACAGATTCACACAGGTAGGTAGAGCCAAAGAACTATGTCAAACGAAATGCAACTTTTTTAAAATTAGGATTCTTTACTTCGTCCATTAAATTCCAAAAGTCCTTCTTTGGTTCTGAACTACCTGCTTTTAAAATTGTGTCATTTTGAAGGAGAAAAATTTCGTTTTCCTCAGGAGATAAAATGAATATATAATTTACATTTTCAGTTATCGTGCGCTTTCAATGAAGGTACATGTTTCGTTTACACATTCATCGAATCATTTGATTAAATAAATATAGGCTCATTGATTGTGAAAAGCCGCAGTCTAGCTGAGGTCAATGTTCCTTAACCCTTTGTTGCATCATGTCCACTCTAGTAGACAAAAGTTTAAATTTGTTTGTTCATCTGTAAATACCTTAAGGTATCTATCTGACTACGTTCGGAGAATTCTGATGAAATATATATTTATTTAGTCAAAATATGATATCAAATCATGAAAATATGTAAATTTTTAGGAATATTTTCATAAATTTTTGAAATATATGCAATTTTATGCACATTTTTAGAATTTAACACTTACGTTAAATGTCGTATATTTTTTCCCACAGTGTTGTAGTAGTATACAGTATTTCACTTTTATTTATACTGTATACTACTACAACACTCATCTGTGTTATGAACTAAAATGTTTATGATATTTCTAAAATTTACTAAAATATGTGTAATTACATGAAAAAACACAGTTTTTTGTAAAATATTTCTTATCGTTTTATATAGAAATACTTATAAAATAATCAAATTAATAAATATAACTTAGATTGTAGCTTAAAACCTAGTAAATAATATAGAAAAACACTTTAGTGAAATTTAATAGAGATGCCTTTAGAACATTTTGAGTAATTACATTTCTCGTATGTAAAAACCTAGAAAAATTAGTTTTCCAGAAAAAAGCATTTAAAGATTTCACATTAACAGAAAAAACTGTTCTGTTGTATTTACACACTTAAAATTCTCCACATTTGTACATCACACCCTCCATATCTTTATACTTAAGGTAATTTTGATTTCCTATTTGATTTAAATTTTTTTCTGGCTATTTTCGAAATGAGCGACGAATGACGTTTCGAGTTCTTTATTCTTTCGTTATCAATTCCAAAGTAATTGTTAATCATTTCTTGTTCAATTGATATGCCAAAATGTTCAAACACAGGAAGTAATCCAGATTACCCTGAATTAAAATTAAAACTGCTATATATGCACCCAGCAACATAGTCTTTATACCTAATCGCAATATTGCCAGACCCAGTTAAAAAAAATCGCAATGTTGCCAGTCCTAATTCAAAAAATTAAGGCAAATAATTATGACCAGAACAAAAAAAAAAAAAACAAAAAAAAGTACCCAGAATTAAAAAAAATGAAATGTTTTAGCACAATTTACAACACAAACAGGTAAAAAAAAAAAAAAAAACCACAAAACACGGATAACAACATTGTTTACCTTTAAGTTGAGCCTTTAAATGACACTTCCGGTCTTTCTGCTTTCACTTCCAGTGCAGTTAATTGTCTATATCTTCTCTTCTAATTATCGCAAACGTAAAAATGAACTATTTTTGGAATCTTACAAAACTTACCTTTCAAATTGGGCAATTAAAAAAAATCGAATTTTTTCGCCGAAATCGAAATCGTTTTTTAACGTAGGCAGATACCTTAACAGATTCCATTTCTATGTTTATTCATTCTACATTATTAAGAACTTTCAACTGTCGATCCTAGATGGCTGTATAGCATCACTAAGTTAAAGCATCGCTATTTGGAAAATGGCTGCTACTTCTGTTTCCAAGGTAGTACAATTTCTCACAGTAAACATTATATAATATGGCTTACATTTTCTTATACTGCCATATTTTATTCATAATTAGTCACATTAGAACATTTTATTTCAAAATGTCAGTTTGAGAAAATTTGTGTAAGTGAGGTAGATAAATATCTACCGAAAAAGAGTGAAAGTTGAAACCCAAAAGTACTGCTTATCGAGCCAAAACACCACCGGAAGTGTTTATGTTTGGCAAGGAATTTATCTAGAGCATTTGACACTTTGAATCCAATAGGTGCAGGTTACAAAATCATATCAAAATGATTTCAATCCCAATCGACGAAATGAAGGTATGTTGGGGGTCTGTACGTACATGTCAGTTGTAGATTTACCATTTAGAAGATGGTAATGATCACCGCAAACAAGGCAGGAAATGATTTCAAATGCAATGACCGTAAATCGTTGGGAAGAGATTTGTATGCATGTACGTATATGCATGCTGTCCACTGTAGTGAACAAACTGTAGCAATTATTTAAAACGAAATTTGAATAAAATTAATTTTTTTATTAGTACTAAGGTTATTATTTTAAGTAGAAAAAATACAAACATTTTCGTTTAACGTCTCTAGATTATTTATATGCAACAAAGGGTTAAATTTTTTCTTTTAGAATTCGAATTTTAGGTCTTAGCAAAGGCGGTCAACGGCAAAATGTCTTGGTAGTCCACCGGTCGATCGCGAAGCCCACCCCTGCTTTAGAGGCTATGGATCAACTGCAACGTTCCCTCTATATTCAAGACAGATTTAATATTGTGAATCACCGAATAGACATTACCATTAGTGCCACTGTAATAGTCAATGAAATTTTTCCGTAATTCAAAGCGTTCAATAACTATTAACCCTGAAATCATTCGATAGTGCCAATGGTAAAGAAGATAAATAAATTTAACCCGTTTTGTGGTTAAAGTATTCTTACATAATAATGAATTATGGTTTTGGTAATATGATCAGTTAAAAAATTAAGCCCGCTTTTATTACTCAGGAAAATCTAAAAAAATTTAATAGCTTGCTACAGACCGAACAACTTGAGAAGCGCCGACAAACGGCGTCGTAAAACAGCCGTCGTTAGAGGGCGCAAAACTGAGGAAACGCAGAACAAAAGAGCGCGAACGAATATAACGAAGAGGCGATGAGTTATGATCCTCCCAGAACACAGCTAAGTGTCTATATCTAAATAATTAGTAATATAGCTGGAAAAACGTGTGACATTTTTAATAAGTCATACAAAGGGGAACGCATCACCATCTAACATAATGTAACGCTTCAAAGAAGAAGTTTATAATTAAAATTTTTTAAACTTAAACATTTTTTAAAATGCGAAACATTTTACAAATATTTCTCTTTTTTCCTTAAATGACATCGACTGTTGCCACTGATTAAATTGCATTTATGCTGCTGGGATAAAATTAAAACTGAATTGAATGGAATTCCTATATCAAAAATTCCAGTGCTTATGTTAGCAATTTTTTTTAAATAGAAGAAAAAGGCTATGTATATAGTATGAACGGAAGTATACTGAAATGTAAAAAAAAAGTGAATTACCATTTAAAATAAAATTGAAAAAGGATACATACATATAGAAAGAGGCTTATGTTTGAGTTACATCAA